GGTTTTTTTTGGACCAGTCATATAAACTGTACTTTAGAGATTTCTGATTAGAGTTAGACAGCCCCCTGCAGCTTAATTGTAGAAAGGCTGATTGTAGCAGGATATTCATGGCAAGGAATGAGGAGACAGTGATATTACTGGACGATGTTTATACCTGCTTCATGCAGCTTGAAATGAAAGGGAAAATACTTTGCATAACGGATGATGATAGATTAACCAGGTTATTTCAAAGATTCAGTTATGCTTCTTTACCAGTAAATGATGGGTACTTTTGAGTTTATTTGGTAGATGAAAGGATTATGCTTATTTTGTAAATTAAGAAACCAAAGTTTGATGGTTACTAGAAGAATCATATATTATGTTTCAAGGAAGCTAATAGTAGTGACATGTGCCAGTGTCTCCAAATGATAGAAAGATCTCTGTGAAGCAGATATGGAGAAAAACTTGGAGAATTTATTCAATTGAGGAGGGAGAAAAATGATGGAAAATGAGAGAAATTATGAAAAGGATCAGCTTTGTCTAAAATACTGATTTCATAGGGTTTTAGGGCTATGACAAGGGACTAGTGTGTAATGGGGGAGAAAGAGCATGAAGGAAGCACATGGAAATGACAAGCAGGGAAAAGACCTATTAAAAAAAAGGGTTTTTTTTTTTAAAAAATCTTCAAAACTCTGAAACTTATCTCATGGTTCTCTCGCCTCCAGCATTCTGCCCCCAGTGACCTTGCTTGGGAGAGAAGACCGAGTTTTCCATGATCACAGTATTTCTCATCCCTAGATTGTGCAGTGGTTGTATATGTGGTGATAAGTTATAGCTCAGAAGAGCATGGGAGGTACTGGACTAGATTAATGATACCGCTTGTTAGAGCAGAAATGGTTGTTTGAACAAATGTAGAGCAACACAGAAGCCTTAGTGTGAGATACTGAAATGACGCATTTCCCATTTGAGAGATGTTATGATGCAAGTATTGGACAGAGAGAATCAAAGATGTGGTTTTTTTTTTTTCTTTCAAAGGTCTTAAATCATCTAGGTATGGTGTTAGCTTTTAAAGAAAATTTAAAAGAATTGGAGAGTGAAATTAATTTCTAGCTTCAGAAAAAAGGACAAGAAGGCATGTTCAGCTTCAGTGTTCCAAAAAGGAAGCAATAAAACAAAACCTAAAAAACATTGTGAAAAGAACCTTATCTTTTTTGCATTCAATTTAAATGTTAGGTTTTCTGAAGTCATTGCAACAGGGACTGGGAAGAAATTTAGAGTGAAAATCTATCCAGCAGCTGCCCAGCAGTGACATAGTGCCAGAACAAGCACTGGCTTATGTCATACCTCCTGTCAGGCCTCTATCTCCCTATGTGCACTTCGTGGTTCTTTTGGATCCTAATGGAATTTAGCAGCTTGGGGAGCAGTGAGTTTGTGTAATATATATGTAATTGGTTGTTACTTGGCTTCATGTTAATCCTGTGAGGTATAGAACTTTTCAGCATGTCTGGAGTAGATGATATAAAACCCAGATCAAGTTCTTTGCATAATTTCTTTGGGGATCAGTTCTGCCAAGGGAAGCATCTGCTGCGGTGACAGCAACTGGCTTGACATGCCCACTGCTGCTCAGAGAGAGCACCTGAACCTGGGAAGGGTTCTCTCTGAGGCTGGGAAGGGGCAGTCGTCTGGACTGTGTTGTGGGAAGGGCTGCATTAGCACCCTCATCTGTCCAGTTTGGAGGTGCATCTAATCCTGATACTAACTCAAGGATAAGCATGGAGAAGTTAACATTTTAAAATATAATTTCAAGATCTGTTAATGTGTCTTTGTCTAATGATATTATTATCCTATATTTCTTTTTGCATATATTTTCCTTAAATACAGTATAAATGAAAGCTTTCTTGTTAAAGTAGGGTTGATGATGTAGAAACACATGTTTAGCTGTAGTATGTTTTATTCTGACCTACTCATTAGTGTGCATGAAGTGACATTGAGTTTAATGAGTAAACTTGATTTAATGGATAGCTAAAAAGCAGAGTTAGTATGCTTAACAGAATTATCCTATAATGTTTTCAAATTGCTTTTTAATTTTTCTTAATTGTCTTTGTTTTCTTGGAGAAACATAGATCTTCAGACTGACTGGATTTAAATTCAAAAGATAAAAAATTGCAGTATGGGGAAGAATTTAGAAAATGCTATGTTTGTATGCTTCCTCTGGTCTCAAGCACATTGGACATAGTACATGTCACTGGTTCTTTGTTTTCCTTTATGAACTAGAGTTTCAGATAGACAATTGTATGATAATCTTGTCTGCCTTTAAAAAGTTTGAAATGTAAAAAGATTAAAAACTAAAACAAAAAATTTAAACAGCTGTTAAGAATAAAATAGAACAATAGTTTTAGGTTGCCTGTGAGGACTGTAAGTGGTACTTGCTTTCTGTTCTCTTGATTTCACATTACTTCAGTTCACATATTGATATCTAGATTGAGTTCCTCCTAATAATCACTTTATCAATTTTTTCACATGTGGCCTATAAGAAATCACAGCGTCTTGCTGGAGGTAACAATGTTCATCCATAGAACCACAGAAAAATTAAATTGGAAGAGACCTGTGGAGGTGGTCAAGTCCAAATTGTTGCTCAAGAAAAGGTTTACCTTCAGTTTACTCGGGACTCTACCAGCTGATCTATGGAAGTGTCTGAGAACGGAGGCTCTACAAACTCTCTTGGTAGCCTGTCCCAGCAATTAGCTGTTCTCTTTATAAAGCTATTTTTCCGTATGTCCAACTGAAAATTTCCTGTGTTGCAGCTAGTGATTGTTGCTTCTTACTATTTTACAGTGCACCTCTTAGAAATTGGCTTGGTCTTCTCTGCAAGCCCTGTCTTCCTTTGGTTAGCTGAAGGCTTCAAGGAGATTCCCTGCCCTAGCTTTCTCTTCAGGCTGGGTTAATTCAGTTCTCAGCCTCTCATGTGCTCCAGCTTGCTAGCCTTGACCTCCCTCAGCTGGACTTCCCCCATATGTCTATCTTTGTACTGGGTGACCAAAACAGGACATAGTATTAAGTGCCACAGAGAGGAAGAATCACTTTCTTTGACCTGCTGCCTATTTGCTTGCTGGTGTAGCACATGTGCATGCACAGCCTGCATAAAGGTGGGCTGCTGACTTATGCTCAGCTTCTTGTCTATCAGGATGCCCAGGTACATTTCTGCAGAGCTTCTCCCTATTATGACAGTCCTCAGCTTCTACTTCTGCATGGCATTATTCTGTCCAGTGTTGAGGACTTTGCTTTTGTCTTTGTTGAGCTTTGTGAGGTTTCTCTCTGCCCAGTCCATCCAGCTTGTTGGGGTCCCTCTGAACTGAGGCTCTACTTCCCTTTGTGTCAACTACTATTCCCAACTTGATGTTATGTACTAACATGCTAAGGGTATGTTCTGTTCCATCATCCAGGTCATTAATGAGGATATTGATCAGCATCACCCCTACTATCAACCCTGCAGGAGCAATTTAAGTAACCAGTCTCCAGTTGAATTCAGTACCCATTGATTCCTCTAGTGCAGGCTGTCTTTCTCCTAATTTGTAATCCTTCCATCCAGTCCTTTTCTTTCTAATTTGGTTACAAAGGGTGCTGAGGGATCCTGCATAGATAGCCTTGTTCAGTTGTAGTAAATCACATCCACTTTCCCCTCATCCATAGAGCCGATCTTTGGATGGATCTTGTTCATTGGAAAGGGCCACGAGGTTGGCTGTGTGGTTTATCCTTGATAAATCCGTGCTGGCTTGGTAATTCAGAGCACTTTGTGCATGTCAGGCAACCGTTGCCCTCAGCCTGCCCTGAGGAAGGAGCAGCTCATTATCCCTGTAGCCCCAGATCTGCATGGTGTCTTCCCTCAGGAGTTTGTCTTGGTCCAATTCCTGACATGCCAGGGGTGGCCACTCCAGCTGGGACCTTGCCCTGCAGCAAGTCACCACCTCTGTTACTCAGGTCCAGCAGTTTTGCAGAGTCATGAACAGTCTCCAGGCTCCATGTACACCCCTCCCACAGCAACGGCAGTCCCAACTAGGTAGAGCTACCTAGGGGTTAAGTGCCTAGGAGGCTGGTCCCAGTCCCTCCACTGCCTTGCAACATTTCCTAGTCAGCAGAAAAACTCCTGTGCTGTCTTTTGGCTTCCAGCTGCTGCTTACTTACCTCCTGAATGCTGCCATGTGCTGCATGCATGTGCTGCATGCTCCTTGGAAAGAGCAGCATGTGAGCTTATTACTTGGATTTCTTGCCTTGCCTGGAAATTTTGTGTTGGTGGCTGAAAACTTAAGTTGGAACTTACCAATTCTGTGCACTGTATAAGACATTTGCTCCAGCAAACTACATGCAGTTGTTGTAATCCTGTATTTTCACTCTGAAGTGCTGGCGAGCCCAGCAAGCTCACTTGGCTGTAGTTCAGGCTCAAAGCACCTACACTATGTCTAGGAAAAACAGTGCTTAGTATGCCTGGCTCTATCTCTGTCAGTCAGATGAAAAGGAGTGTGAGTACATATTCTAGTAGTCATAGACTCTAACTTCCCTCTGCCTGGGGAGAGCTGAGGCTGACTGCTAAGCATGAGCTTGTGTATCAACCATGTACATGGTAGGTTTGTCTATGCTGGAGGCTGACAATGCAGACATATCTAATAAAAATAGAATTACCCTTGGATTTGGAACAATTGTTTTACAAAAGAAATCGTGTTACTTGTATTGCCTATGTATTTTCATCTGGGCACCATAAGTTTCTCTTATCAGTATTCCTAACCTATAAATATTGCTTTATATCTCCACACTGATGCTGTTTTCCAACCAGGATAGGTGCTTTTCCGTAACTGAACATTTCTATTGGGTACATAAAACATAGTAATCTTCCAGGTAGTAAAACATTATTGTAGAGTATTCCTATTAATTAATAAAATCACCTAAAATTTTTGGAAATTGGCTTTGAAAGAGGGGAGTTTTACTGTGAGGACATAAAATGGAATTGATTCTCCCTCTATTTACAGGTACTTCCTTTGGAAAACAGAATGAAGGACACCACTCGTTTCCCACAGGCGCTGAACATTGGCATGGGAATCGTCATGACCTTGTATATCTCACTGGCCACTCTGGGCTATCTGCGCTTTGGGGATGAAATCAAAGGCAGCATAACTTTAAATCTGCCACAAGATATATGGTAAGTGCATATGTGACTTAAAACCAGTAATCAGGAAGGCAAAACAGTTGTAAAGCTTGTTCCATGCCTCAGTTCTGTCATGCTTATAACTGATAGGTGCTCAAACTCTTTTAAAAGTGTACTGTATATACTATTTCTGTGCCTTCTACAGTTGAGCTATGATCCTACCCAGCAACTTCTTTTGTATTAAAAGGAAATGCATATGGAAACAGATTAATAATCTTTATAGTAAAGTGTTCCATCTGTAGCAAGAGCCAGTTCCAGGTGTATTGAAGGAAGAATATGTGCTTTGCAACCAGCTATATTGCAGTTCTGAATACAGCTAGTTTTACTTTGGATATCATGGTAATATAGTGGCCTTTTTTAGTGGAATCATTGAGTTTAGCAGGTAAACAACTGGAATAGAAGAGAGCAGAGATGAGTAGATTTGTTGTTCAGATGCAAATCTGTGGATAATGTATAATAATGGTTTCCTATCAGGAAAATCAAGCTTCTGCTTGACACTGACTCAGGGATATTATAATTTTTTTTTTTAGCTTTTGTTTTAATGCTCTGAGAGCTTCACATTTCACATACTGAAGAAGCACTGAAGACTGTTTCAATTGGTGCATAGTTAGTTCTGTATCTCTGGATGGATATATGCTGTAACAGTTTAAATGTGTTTAGTAACTTTTGGTCCAGTGGGCCTAAAATTAGGTACATTAACAGTGCATAAGTGTAAAAACTGCAAAGTATTTTGTTTTCATTCTGATCAAGTAATGTCTCACATGTTATATGCTTACATCTACTTGTTCTCTGGTGTCTTGTGGTAGCATATTGAAGTAGTGAAATCTCAAATTATGTGAAACAAAAACTGCTTTGCTGAACTGAATGACGACTCCTTTTTTTACTCTTTGAAAGATTAGAACACATTTAAAGAGTGTTCTTCATTTTCAAGTGTTACTTTTTCACTCTCTTTTCTTCATTTTCATTCCTTGGAGTCAGTATGAGCTATGCATTTTTGATATTCTTCAGAAGTTTAATTGCCTGACATGATAATAAAATGGGTCTTGAAGGATGAATGTTGAAAAAATTGCTAGAATAAGAGTTTTCAAATAGCTCTTGGCTACAGTGCAGATGTGATGATAAGATGGTATTTATCCTAATGGCTTTACAGACCTAATGCAAAGAAAGAGATAATTAAAGAGATGGAAACTGGTATTCTATAAGGTGGAGAACTGGCATTATGAGTTTAATAACCTCCAAGCTGCTCAGGGCACATACATAGAGATAAGTCATCTGGTTTTGTCTTACCCTGGACAGTACCCCAGAGCACTAAACAAAATTTAGTTGGGGAGGAACTTTAAAGACCATGTATTTCAACCTCCTCTGTAATGGCAGGGCCACCTTCCACTAGATCAGGTTGCTCAAAGCCCTGTCCAACCTGGCTTTGAACACTTCCAGGGAGGGGGCAGCCACAGCTTCTGTGAACAACCTCTTCCAGTGTCTCACCACCCTTATCATAAAAAATTTCTTCTTTGTCCTTGGCTGAGGTCTCATCTTCTTATGGCTGAAGGTTGTTTCCACCAGCTGTTCTTTGTTAAGATAGAAGTGACCGTCTGTGTGCAACAGTTCCCTTACTGTGAATCCTAAGGGTTAACTACCATACAAATATTGTAGCATATTAAAGTTCAACAAAATTGATACAAGGTACTAGTTCAAGTGGAGTCTTAGGATAATTAATGTCCTATTTGGTCTAGCTGTATTAATACGCAAATTTTGTTACACTAGTTTCAAATTTTTTTCCCTTAAAAGAGGTACAACAAAATCTAAAATATAGAATTGAAGAGGCAGACTTTTGTTAACTTTTTTCAGATATTACATGATTTTTTTAAAAGGTAGCCTAAGGAACCATCTTTATCTGCCTGGAATATAATATTAACTTATTAGTAAAATCACTTTAATAATATAAAAATTGTTTCCTAATTTGAAATATTTGAATCCTTTTAAAGCTAGAAAAATAATGTAATGGAGATGCTTACTGTGTATTTAAAGTTTGAATCCTGTTTTTTAATATCTTGTAAGAAATTATTTTTATAAAGGTTTCAGGTGCTCTGAAGCCTGAGGATTACAGCCTGATCGTGGGTAGCTGGTCAGTTTTTCTTTTTGTAAACCAGATAAAATCCATCTAATCTTCTGGAATAAGGACAGTATTGCAGAACTGATAGAAAAGTGATTCTGTTTTTTCCTCTAAATTACTTAAAGCTGCTCAGCAATCAAAAGGAAGTGTGTTACAACAGCAGTGGCTTCCAAACTAGCAACACCATTATGTCACCATGTAAAGTGATATAATAGTTTTTCTGTCCCTTTGAACATGTCTTTGTGGCTTTATTGAGTTGTGTACAGTGATGGTCAAGCCTTTGATACAAATAACTTAGAACCTGTTAGTCAAAATTTATTTTTAATCAAAGTGTATTTTTCTTTTTTCCCCATATATACATTTTTAATTCTTTTGCCTATTTTTTCAGCTAATAAAAAAGCTGCATTTTTTTGTTAGCAGTCTTTCAGTATCATTAAAAATTGAAAATTTGATGAACTGGCTTGTGAGATGAGAAGCGTGAAAGGTCGAGCTGTTTGAGTTCATCTGTATTCCACTGCGCAAAATCAATCCAGTGTACCAAAACCTTTACTGATTGTGTGTTCAACACTTCCATCAAAAGGTTGAAGGAAGGATGATGGAGGTATCCTGTTCTGGTGGGAAAGAGCTGAACTGTATGGATACAAATTTTGCCATGCTGTGCCATTTGGCTCCAGGATGAGGGGCCCAAAGCAGTCCTGGCTGGATTTTATTTAGTAATAATAGATACAGGTTATGATACTCGAAGTGAGTACATTTTGAGTGACTCCTGCCAGGCTTTGAGAGATGCAGACAAGGATCTCCTTTGTTCTCTCCCTACTCTGGCGGCTGTTTTTTCTTCTGTTACTGTTGCAAGTTGCCTTTGCTTTCTGGTTGCAGTTGACTTCTTTTTGAGAGCTGAAGCAAAAAAGGGTATTGAGTGCTTTGGTTTGCTTTGCATCATCGTCTGTTATCACAGGATATTAATGAGAAATACTTCCTCTCTCATTTGTGAACATACAATACCACATGGCAAATGAACCAAAACTTTACCCAGAAGCTTTGATTGTGTTCTTAGTTGCATTCTTAGAAAGAAAATCATACTCAAAGACTCATAACTTCTATCAGTTGGCTGTAAGCAGACATATGACAAATGCTTGTAGTTTATGCAGCATAGATTAAAAATACATCTACATTTAAAACTGTTGGTGGCATGGGTGATTCTTTCCCACTTGTTTGTTCAGCCACAAGTAACAGTGGTAAGAGTGTTCGCACTTCATGTTTTTTGGAAGATTTACTCTATTTTTTTTTAAAACTTAACAAAAAATCTTGACCCGGTTTCTTGGAGACCTTCCCTTGGAGTAGATCTGTAGACATTTTTGTTTACAAAAAGATGAAGATATAGGAAAACCTTCAGACAGATCATGAAGGAAAAAACAATAATGCTGCAACCATATAGCAATGGGTTTTACTGCATTATGATAAGTGAGATAAGAGCATGAGCGTGATATCTAAAAAACCTTAACTATCTTGGGGGAAGAAAAGATATTTGTTATCTAAAATTTGGCAAGACAATGCCAATATATGGGTTATTTTTCAACATACTTTTAAAGAAGCGAGATGCACAAGTTATTGCAAAATTACATTAAAGTTAGGCTGCCAACCCATTTCAACATTAAAAAAAATATTTTACTTATTTTATACTTGAGATTCACAGCTTTTTTTGTTATACGTCTTGCTGAGATGTAGTTTATATAAGGGTAGATGTAAACTTTTATCCTTTTTTGCCTTCACCTTTGACATGACACTTTTTTTTTCCTGATAAATACTGATAATCTTTTCCTTTACTTATAGCATAGGGTTTTTGGTTCTGCACAGATCTGAAAAAAAAACCCCAAAACAAACACCATAAAGATGAAAGCTGGACGATCTGAAGTCAGTTAATATTTTTGGAGTAGTACAGTATTTTGAACCAATTTAGGCAGAGAGAAGTTAAATGTAGCTGAGTTCTATACTGTTGCAAATAAACTGTACACTATGTTGCATTTTCTGAACATTTTCATCTATGCTTTGATGACATGCAGAATGGAATAACACTAGAACAGAAAGAGATTAATGAGAACAAAAATACTCCACTCCTCTTAAAATGTAAATTGTGCCTTTTACCAGTCTGTGTAGAGATAATTTCACTTTTTATGTAACTGAACTCTTGGAGAAAGACAGTAGCTTGTCTTTGGCACAGAATTTAAAACCATTATAAGGTAGCTTTTCAAGAAAATACAGTCTTTTAAAAAAGATACAAATAGCTTGATCCCTAAAATGTCTGTCTAGTTCCAGTAGCTCCAGTCCTGTATGTTTGGAAGGACATTTGTACATCAGAATGAACTCTTCCACATATGCATACATTCTTTTTCCAATTTATTTTTCTTTGTAAAATATCATGCCACTGGCATAAGGTTGACACAATTTGGAGCTCTAGAACTTGTCACTCCTTTGTGTTGCTATAAACCCTATGGAGTATTATGACATGGCACAGTAGTTTAATGATGTTCTGTACCTAGTGGTTTTGAAGAGGAGAGTGTGGATAGCAAGCAAATTTGTTACGGATATTTTCTAGCCTTAGAAGATACTCCTTCCAGTTTTAAATTTCATGAGATTCCCTCTTCCCAGTGTGAAAAATCTTTTTAGCAATACTTTGTGAATATGCAGAAGTCTGGAGGATATTGGCATTTGTCTTTAAAATATCCAGTGTTTACGGTCATTGTGAAAGGTTTATCAATGTACAGACTATATTTTACGTGAATTTTCTTTTCCCAAATAACTGCCATCTCTTTAACCTGTTGTGCTTTAAGTTTATTCAATTATGATTGCATGATAACTTTTTTTTGATTCATATTTTGGTACTTGGCTTATCTTCTGCAATTTCATAGGCTGTTATAACTCACGAGCAGATAATGTTATGTTTTTGTTTCCTGGGGTGAAAAATATTTAAAAAAAAAATATATATATATGTGTGTGTGTGTATATATATATATATATATATGTGTGTGTGTATATATATATATATATATATATAAACCTTAGTGCCATTAGCAATCTTAATTTTTTTATGAAGAGTTTGCAACTTACGTGAACCTCTGTAAATGTTTTCAACAGGTTGTATCAGTCTGTAAAAATTCTGTACTCCTTTGGGATTTTTGTGACCTATTCAATTCAGTACTACGTCCCTGCAGAGATTCTCATTCCGGCTGTCACCTCCAAAGTGGAGCAGAAGTGGAAGTTACTCAGTGAGCTTGTGGTGAGAGCACTACTAGTCTGCTCAACCTGTAAGTATGTATACTTACATCAAGACATACACTATATATCCATAAAAAGCTTGCTATTATGCATTGTTGAGGCCGGTTTATTTAAGTACATGTTTTGTAATATATTTTTCCAGAGGCTTTCAAACCTGAAATTTTGTTTCAATGATTCAGTATATTTTGATCTTCATGAACAAATGAATCTAATGTTGTATTTCTATTTTAACCACACTTTTTTTTAGAGGTGTGACCAGTTATTTAATAACCATATCTTTTGGCAGTAGTACTATAAAGCTGCCAACTTGAAAATAATTTTCTTAGAATAAAAGTTTTTAGGGAACGGACACACACTGCAGTTTCATGTCAGCCTTCCTCTATGTGATCTGCAGTACATGCTGCTCACAGAGAAATCTTTTTTCTGTTATGTCGGTGTGAGGATTAAGCCTAAGGCGTGTTGCTCTGTATCCTTAAAACAGCACTGCCAAACACGATGCCTGTCAGAGTGTTCATGGAGGGCCAGTTATTTTAGGTGATAATGCTCCAAAGTGATTTGGTATCTCTGCCCTCACTGCCTGTTTCTCCTATTTTTTTTCTCTCTTGTTCTCTACTCTTTCCCACCGTTCCTATTGTGTCCCTGCTTTTCTCAGTCTAAATACCACAGTCTAGATACCATAGATACTAGTAGTAATCAACAGTGCTCACTGAATGGTGAGCATGGTCTCACCTAGGAGTCAATATTCCTGAGGATAATGGACTGAGGAGAAAGTTTAGGTTTGTCTTTACAGCTCCCGTCTAAAGTGCTGAATAACATAGGAACATTTTCTCAAAGATGTTATAAAAAATTGTTTCTAGTACAAAGCTGTCTTATTGACTTCACAAAAAGTGAAAAGCTTTCTTGAATAATGAAGTGCAAATCTCTTGAAGCACCATATAGCCTGTGTTCTGCTTCTAGTCTTCATGGTGCGTAGCCAACCTATTAAGATTTTAAGATTGAGGATAGATGAATAGCTCTTGTAATACCTGAGAGACATCTAGGTAAAAATGCTTCAAGCTCCAGAATACTTTTTAATGTTTCTACGGGACCGCAGTAAACTCTTCAGTCCACTCATTCTCTGTTGTCCTTTATGTGCCCCTTTATAACCTGCCCTGTTAATGATACCACAATATGTTTGAAAAACCAAAATTCTTGTAGATCCAAACTCTTTTTTACAGCTGCAAGTTTTGAGAGTTTATAGGCAAAAGATGTTTTTGGAGATGTGTCTGATGAGAAGATATTGCATATTGGGATTAACCATCTGAGTGTGAAGCTTTTTAGTTTGCTTCTGAAAGAACTGGACCATCCTGACTGAATTTTCAAAAGCTTTGTTAATATCTTTACATAGAACAATAGAAGTTTTACTTTTATGTTTTGAGAGACCACTTAATCTTGGAGAACAAGAAAGAAACCTACTCAGATGAGTCCTGTTTAGTGCATTGCTTGAAATAAGGTGTCATTATGTCATAAGAGTTTTTACTCTTCCCCTGCTTACCTGACGCTGAGATCATGATTTTGTTGAGCCTAAACAGTTAATTCTCCTGTGCTAACAGCGTCAAACCACACTGATCTTATGGAGATGGAGAGGAGATCTGAAGATGATCAGCTGCAACTGTCAAGCATTTGTCAATATTGATGCTAAATAGCATCAAACATATTCACTTCTATCGATGTGTCTCAGCGAAAATTGTGGTTCAGAAATTTAGTAGCATGTAAATACAAATTTCTTGCTTACTGTCTACCAAGGGCTTTACTTGTGTCTTCTACCAAAAGGACACTAAAATTAAATTGTGCTTTCTTGGAGGTGTTGGAAGAATTAAAAAAAAAAAACAACAAAAAGTAGCATTGAGAAAATAGTTTTCATGTGAATGGTGGTGGCAAATACATGAAGTAGTAAAGGAATAAAATAGAAAAAAAAACCCCACAATTGAAGCAGTACTTCAGTTTTTTAAGAATAAGTTGTGTTTGATTTATTACTTTCAAGATAGTGGTGAAACAATTTTTTTGGTGAATTGGTAAAAGCTGATGAAGAGCATCAGTAAATACAATGGAGAAAGCTGGAGTTGACAGTTAATAGTATCTTTCATCCACAGAAGAAATACAGATTCTTTTTAAAATAATTTAGGGCTGTATTCCTGCAGCCACGGTGCTCCTGTTAAAATGAAAATTAAGAAATATTGCATTTGAATGTCTATGTGGAGATACCAGTTGAATTGTCAGTTGGTTTGATTGTTAGCTTGAGATGAAGCACGTTTAATTGAAGGGCTGATCCAGCTGAGCGTGAACTGAGCTGTTAGTGAGCTGCTTTCTAAAAAAAAATTAGCCTGAGCTTAGTGTGTAATTTTACCAAGAGAATAAATGCATTATTTAATTGAATTTATCAGTTATGCTTGTCTGAATATTTCCCCATTTTAATTGTAGGTGGTTTTAGGAAGGAACAGTTCTTGATGCTGAACAGTTAGACACAAGATGACATGATGTTTACCAGATATCTTACACTGTTTAATGACATTGTGCCAATAAAATACTCAGTAGCTGCAGCAGATATAACATGAAGGAATTTTAAGATCTATATAGATTTTAATACATGTTTTTAGGATTCAGTGATAAACTTTTATACAGAAGTGGTTTGTCTATCAGTCATGAGACACAAAGTTTTTTAATAAGAGTTTGTTCATTTTAAATGGTATTATTAATGATAGATAAATTGAATAGCTAACTTTGTGATATAAAAAATTTCTAGATGGGATTTTGAATATTTGTGTAGACTGTTAACAGGTCCCTCAATGTGGGTTTAAACACAAAATAATTGTTTATGAATTGTCAAAGGAATAAAATGAAATATTTGATTAATTAATTAGATATTTTTTTTTCCCAGTGTGGGTTTGTAATTTTTTTTTATATAGGTGGCTTATGAGCATAATTCTTACTTCCTATCAGAAGATTCTGTACTGTGATTTTCAGTTGAGAGATGAGAACAATCATCACTGTGTGGGTTTTAGGCATATGCTTAGACATGAGAAATAGATATGTGAAATACAGTTTCTTCCAACCTTTTTGACTATCTTTACAAGAAGACAATATCTCTTAATATCAGGGTTATATCCTGATTATGATTTCTTTCTTTTGATGTGCCATTGCGAATTATGGCACATTTATGAGTTGCCATTGGTGTAAGAATCACTTCATGTACATATAGTAACTAATTTTCTTTCTCACAGTACAAATATTAAACTTTTTTTTTTTACATGATTTGAACATACAAATACCAAATGTCTGTGGATTATTTGAATGGTGCTAGAAGTGTTTCTTATTACAGGTTGTTCTGGAGATGTTAACTTGTGAATATACGTTGTATGAGATAACAGGTTGGGGATTTTCTTTCTGAAACTAGCACTGGTCCAGAAGTAACTGTAGGGTCTCACAAAACAGTCTATTGTTAGTATTCATCAAAGCCTTACGAAGCCAGCTGGTTTAGTTCTTCGTTTTGGTCTGTTGTTTCAGCTGACATCAGATTTCCTTTAACAGTGACTATTATATGGGCCCAAACAAGATATTATTTGCAAATGGTTATATTTTTAAAACCTTATAGAGAAAGTTAAGGTTGTGAATACCTGAAATTACAATACGTCCTGCTTTTTAAAATTTATTTTATTACTACTGTGTATGTTGGACCTCCTTCCATTCAGGTGTTAATTAGGATTCTGTGAATAAATTCAGATTTTGAGGTGCAGCTGTTTTTCCAAAATTTTTTGTAGGTATGAGACAGGAAAAAAAAGTATGGTCTTTGTGAATGGGGTGAAAAATAGATAATTTTGAAAGATTTTGTAATAAGAAAATTTAAAAATAATTTAAAGTAACAGCAATGTATTTGTCGTAAAATCTGTTTGCTTTTTTTGAGATGTTTTATTATTTAAAAAATTGGTGAAGAACAAGTAGTTCAGCAATGCGTTTATGTACTCTGAAATAGCTGATCCTATTCTGGGGCAGTAATTATTTCCTAGTAAACAGACTTATTACTTGCCACAGTTCAGTATACGTGTTTTACAACTCTGCAGGAATTCTTGTGGAAAAGTATTATGGTATTTTATTTGAAAATTGGATCATAGCAGAGGTTTTTTGGTGGTGTTTTTTTTTGTTTGTTTGTTTTGGGTTTTTTTTTCTCTTAATTTATAGTTCCTCTTACAGGCTCCTTTGCAACATTTATTCACTTAATGTGAAGTGAAAGTTGAAGATTCATACCATTTACAGGGTAATCCTATGTGCCAGTCCATGCTCTGAAGATTTTAGCTGGCGCATGGCATAAGTTGCAAAGTGGTTAAAAGTCATCTAGTTTAGCATGCAGAAGTCTGTTCTCTGGACTTCTGCACCTGCAACGGTCATCCTAGCTAGACTCCTCGTAAGTGACAGGAATAGGTGCAGAAGGGCACAATTTGTCTGATCTGTTTTACTTATTTGCTTCTGGATGAGTTGAACGGGGCCAAAGAAGTACTTGTTTCCTTCTTTGGGCACTATAGGTGAGAAATATATCTTGCATTTGGTATGATGAATCCTTCTCAGGAAGAGTGAGAAGTGATGTTCAATATCATACTTGCCTGCAGTTCAATCTTGTCTTTTCTTTCTAAAATAGTTTAAAAACTAATCAAGCCTGCATTTATTTTTTGTTCCACTTTATATTTTCTATCTCTATGCTTACAAATACAATGAAATGGTGATACGAAAATTCTGTGTCCAGCACCAAAAATATTTATATTCTCTAGCTCATGAAAAGTGAACTTTGTAATATGTTCATGACTTTATATCTCTCCGTTATTTTGGCCTGTTATATTTCTATGCATGACCTGGCTTAGAAGAGAAGGTCATTTATGGGGTGCCTTCTGAATGTGCCTTCATAAATGAGCAAGTGATTTTCTGTCATGCTTACTGAGTGGAGCAGCTGTTTTTGCATGTATTCCTCGTGCATTTTACATCTATCTGGTGGTCCATAGAC